GCTCCCTGTGAAACAATCTCTTGTTTGGACGTTTTCCCAAAATGACCTACAACTGTCAAGTTTATTGCATATTTTGACCATTGCACAAGTTAAATTTTTCCGTTATTTTCCTGTTTCATAAGGCCAGTTGCTTCACATAAATACAGCACTTTGTTTCTCCCTCTGCAGCTGATTAGATGTGTCTCCTCTGTTGCTTGGTTACTTGTTTTCTTTGTTAAAGGGCAGCCTGGGAAGAAGCTGCAGCATGCTGACAAAAGACATTCATGTAGCTAGTAAGATGTAAGTCAAAGAGGTTTTACTTCACACACCTGGACAGGAGACAACATCTGAACGAGAGTGTGTGAGAGTAATGTTTAATACTATTAGCAGTTAGGTAATATGCAGTGTTGTACCAAATTGCATTAATGACCCAAAATGAGAAAGCCTCCCTAGCATCTTCCCATTTATCATCTGTCCGAGATGATTCATGGAATAAGTGAACTGTCATTGTCACTGCCAGTACCACTAGTTTTATCTATAAACTAGTACTGTCAAACGATTAAAATATTTAATCGCGATTAATTGCATTAATGTCATAGTTAACTCGCAATTAATCGCACATTTTTATCTACTCTAAATGTCCCTTGAATTCTTTTTGTCCCATTGTTTTTTCTCACTTTAATGTCCTTATCAACATGGAAAAGTGGATCGCCTTGCTTTGTGCAAATGTTGTTTTTATTGAAAAATCCTCCATTGTCACCTGGCTTTGACGAGAGGGCGGAGAATTGGCATCAGATGTGTGCTTGGCCATCAAGTGGTATTTCAGACTGGACGTGCTGCGATGATAGCTCAGTTCACAACGACATAACACACAGATCACTTTTTTCACCATTTCGGCGTTTCACACTCGCAATCCACTCAAAACTTAATGTCTACTACTCTTAAACAAGTGTGTCCGGCATGCCTGTTGTTTTGTTTCCAGTCTAGCTAGATCCGGTGTGGTGTTAAACAAACGTTAATCTCGCGATCAAAAAATTGACGCTGTTCAAAATGGGTTTATGTTAATGCCCTTAATAACGCGTTTAACTGACAGTACTACTATAAACCTTATTTTATTCAATAGAAATAGACTGGAACCTATTTTGTTTTAAAAAATAAGAAAATAGTCAAACAAATTAGTCAAAAGAAGGACTTCACCTGCATGAAATAATATACACTGAACAAAATTAAAAACGCAACACTTTTGTTTTTGTCCCCATTCATCATGAGCCGAACTCAAGACTCTAAGACTGTCTCTATGTACACAAAAGGCCTATTTCTCTCAAATATTGTTCAAAATCTGTGTTAGTGAGCACTTATCCTTTGCCGAGATAATCCATCCACTCACAGGTGTGGCATATCAAGATGCTGATCAGACAGCATGGGTATTGCACAGGTGTGCCTTAGGCTGGCCACAATAACAGGCCACTCGAAAATGTGCAGTTCCATCAAACAGCACAATGCCACAGATTGATTTGAGGGAGCGTGCAATTGGCATGCTGACTGCAGGAATGTCCACCAGAGCTGTTGCCCGTGAATTGAATGTTAATTTCTCTACCATAAGCCATCTCCAAAGACGTTTCAGAGAATTTGGCAGTACATCCAACCGGCCTCACAACCGCAGACTACGTCTAACCACACCAGCCCAGGACCTCCACATCCAGCATCTTCACCTCCAAGATCGTCTGAGACCAGCCACCCGGACAGCTGCTGCAACAATCGGTTTGCATAACCAAAGAATTTCTGCACAAACTGTCAGGAACCGTCTCAGGGAAGCTCATCTTAATGCTCGTCGTCCTCATCGGGGTCTCGACCTGACTGCAGTTCATCGTCGTAACCGACTTGTGTGGGCAAATGCTCACATTTGATGGCATCTGGCAGATGGCAGGCAGCGTGTATGGCGTTGTGTGGGTGAGCGGTTTGCTGATGTCAATGTTGTGGATCGAGTGGCCCATGGTGGCGGTGGGGTTATGGTATGGGCAGGCGTGTGTTATGGACAATGAACACAGGTGCATTTTATTGATGGCATTTTGAATGCACAGAGGTACCGTGACGAGATCCTGAGGCCCATTGTTGTGCCATTCATCCACGACCATCACCTCATGTTGCAGCATGATAATGCACGGCCCCATGTTGCAGGGATCTGTACACAATTCCTGGAAGCTGAAAACATCCCAGTTCTTGCATGGCCAGCATACTCACCGGACATTATGCGGTCACCCATTATGCATGTTTGGGATACTCTGGATCGGCGTATACGACAGCGTGTTCCAGGTCCTGCCAAAAACTTGGCACAGCCATTGAAGAGGAGTGGACCAACGTTCCACAGGCCACAATCAACAACCTGATCAACTCTATGCGAAGGAGATGTGTTGCACTGCTTGAGGCAAATGCTGGTCACATCAGATACTGACTGGTTTCCAGACCCCCCCGGACCCCCCCAATACAGTGAAACTGCAAGTTTTTGAGTGGCCTTTTATTGTGGCCAGCCTAAGGCACACCTGTGCAATACCCATGCTGTCTGATCAGCATCTTGATATGCCACACCTGTGAGGTGGATGGATTATCTCGGCAAAGGTGAAGTGCTCACTAACACAGATTTTGAACAATATTTGAGAGAAATAGGCCTTCTGTGTACATAGAGAAAGTCTTAGATCTTTGAGTTCAGCTCATGATGAATGGGGGCAAAAACAAAAGTGCTGCGTTTATAATTTTGTTCAGTGTATGTTATAATAAGTAATAATGATGAGATTGCTGAAGCATTTTTTACTTTCAAATTCTATCAGGGATTTCTTACCTTTTTTTCTCTTCTCAAACAAGTTGGAGACGTAGAGAGTTGTTTCAACACTGAAACATCTCTGCAGAATACACTGATAACCATGTGTCATTGATGTAGATACAGGGTGAATAAAAAGAACCACTCCTAAATTAGCTTAGGAGGAGGCAGATAGAATCAACTTTAAAATACTCTGGCACTTCACAGTGTTGTATTTTGTCCTTCCTTCATTTAAGAGAAATCTTAAATGAATGTGCATAACTTTGTAGGGACATGAAAATACTCTAGAAGCCACCGTGCATCTTGATCTAGTCTTAGCAGGACCAACGTGACAGCAGAGCTGCTCTGCACAGCCTGATCCCTCCTGACACCCCCTCACTTCAGTTCCCCTCCCACTCAACCACAGCCAAGCTGACAGTGAGTCACCAAAATACCAAATAGACGCAGGTGAGAAGCAAACCCAGAGTGTGTACACCAGATGAAAATGCCACTTTGCTGGCATGGATAATGGTACACCGACAAAGCTGGAAGCAGAGCCAGCCATCCTCATTTAAAGCTGTTTGATTATCAATGAGCCGAGATCAAGAAATACACAGTTTTTCATGTGTGTGTAAAAGAGACACAGTGAAACAAACATAATGTGTAAGATGTGGAGGATAAATGTGTGTTTGTTGCTGTATCCATACGTGTGTGTATTTCGTCTCTTTCATTTGGCAAGTCTGCTCCGATTCGTCTTTTTACTCATGAATAACTACACATAAAATAATTACAGAACCTGTATGTATGCATGAACTGTATTTCTTTATTTGAATTCGTTAAAGTGAAATAAAAATCCAAAACTGGAGATCCATGAAGTCCATGATTTTTGCTGGTAGGCAGTTTTCCTTGCCCTTGTCGCCAAGTGCTTGCTCATGGTGGTACTGTTGGGTCTCTGTAATTAATGTTGAAGAGTTCGGTCTAGACCTGCTCTATTTGAAAAGTGTCCTGAGATAACTTCTGTTATGAATTGGCACTATACAAATAAAATTGAATTGAATTGAATTGAAACGGTACCAAACCGATGTTTCAGGGTTTTAATTAAAAAAGTTACTCTGTCACTCAAAAAACCTGCCTTCATCTGTCTCTCAGCCAAGGGCCAAAGGTTTGGCTCAGCATGCCCAGGGTGGCTCTAGAGAAATATTCACAGGGTGGCAAGAGGGTGGCATGGAGAACACAAGGAATTGACTGAACTCTTCCAAATGACAGAAAACCGGCAACAAGACAACACCTCTTCCTGGGGTAGTTGTTGAGACCCACATCCTCCGAAATCCTACAGGGCGGTGTTCGACAGCACCATCAGCCCGGCAGAATATAGCATTAACAGGAGGACGGGTAGTAGCTGCTGCCACTGACAGTGACTTGAACGACTAAAAAAAAGCTACACCATCATCAACGCTTGGCCGTGAACTAATTTCTGTTGGGCCAGTCAACCACTCTCATCCATGGCTGCAAAGGGATGAAAATATTCCGCTAGCTTAGCCAACTTAAACTAGCCTACACCTGATGACAGACTTTTAGTTTTCAAAACTTGAATTCTCGCTCAACTGGTAAAACGTTACGTAACAGGATTGCAGCTCATACAACTGCCCCCTGGTTCCCCTAGTGGAGTCAACTCTGACGTATTCTAAAATGTGGCCATAATTGATCATTAAATTATGTGTGTTAATATCAGTTTTTAACACATTATTTTAAATAAGTTAATTTGATAGCATTTTACATCAAACCTGGGTTGCAGCTGGTGTGGCCACCACTCTACATTCTGCCCCTGAAAATGCTGCTCATCTGGACTATATCAGTAAAACATACTAAAACGAAATTTTGCACTCCACTTCAGTATGATGCAGTGCAACCCACACACCAGACTGACAGACAGATTGTGTGCTGCAAAATCGCCAAAATGTTTTGTAATTCCTAGGAAAACTGGGGCTGAGCAGTGACAACCTTTAACTCTCTTGGCTGTTAGCTGTCACTTGCTTTCTGTTTACTTAACACTGTTGTATCCTGAATGACTGAAAACTCATGTCATGCTACTGATGCAGTAAACTTCACCCATCTGCTCCACGTAAATTCAAACTAACAAAACTGTTCATCATTTTAAGGATGCGCCTTGCAAACTAGTGTCTGAGCTTTTGTAAGAGGACTGATCAGAGGCCAGCGAGCAGCATACCTTGAGAGTGTAGGACCTCAGCGTCTTGCTCAAGGACACTTCAGCAGATTCTCATAAGATGGTCCTCCAGCCGAAGGACGGCCAGCCTGCTTACTATGCCTCCCTGCAGGAAATGTTAAATAGATTTGGAAAATGAGCCTTAATTTCAGGTCAGTAAGCAGGCTGCTTTTTCCACGACAGAAGAGAGTAAATTTGCCTTTCAGATTCGTCACTTTAAAAAACTGACACGTACTGTACTGTTGCAAAGTGCTTTCAGGCAAAGGGCATGGAAATATAACTCTGAGGCAAATTACTGTGCATCCTCTTGAGGCCTTTGCTGTAAACACGGGACTTTTTATACAGTGTTTTGGATTTACACCAAATCAGAAATTTTATATTTCTACTTACACAAGTTTGACTAAGCACAGTGTTAATTGGTTTTCATCCACACCCTGCTTCACACACACACACACATACACACACAAAGGTCAAAAAAGCTGTGCAGATTCAGGGATTCAAAATCTGTCAATGAACACAAGTCATTGCAAGATTGCTGTACAGTTCAGTAATTGCAAAGTAGTGTGCACATGGTAGCCATAAATGGTTTTCTATTAAAATATCCTTCACACATTTTCAGTGAAAATCAATATATGAGTGTATGAAAAGGTCAATCTTTGTTGATTCTACACTTATAATAACTTTCAATCTCTTTAAAGAGGTATTGCATTCTTCAACATGGTTTTTGAGCTGTAAACTAAATGAAATGACTGTATTGTGATGAAAAACATCAACTCTGGTGTTAATATTGACATTCTCACCAAATGTATTCACATATGCATTTCATGGCAACAAGCCATGAACTGTTTTAAATCACTCTGAACCCCAATGCTGACATAGAGTCAACTCTTTGGGCAAGTACTTGCATGACATTGAATTTAAATTAAAAAAAGAAAGTGAAAGCAGAAGTGCCAGCTTCATTATTAACCAAATGTCAAGGTATTTGTTTCTTACAATAACTCAGAGATTATATAAAAAGAGAGGAAGAGCAGGGATACAATGAGAGTGAAGGACAGATATGTTTGTAAGACTTCTGATTCAGAAAGAAGGTAGCAAAAAAAGTGTTAAAACATCTCAAACCAAGTGGTGCCATATAGTCCGGGGTCGAGTGGTTGAACAAATGACACAGTCAGCAGCGTCATGTGATCAGAGAGGAGCTGGTTTTAAATAAACTATGGCGTCCGTCTACAGTTTCATCACAGTTCATGTAATGAAAGAGCAGGTGTCCTTTTTCTGAATGGGATGTCTGAGAAACACTACACCTACTTTCACAGCTCTTTTTCCTCGCTGTGCAGGCTTGTTAACAGTATCAGAATCAGTCTTTTACTGTGAATGTAGAGGAAATGTTGAGAAGTAACAGTGATACCAACTGACAAATGAAACAAATTTCAGCTAAATGCTCACACTGTTTTGACAGCTTACAGGTATCAGCGGCGTATTTCCTCTGCTGCTAATCTGTGTGCCACGTTCTTATCTTTACTCATTAGTATGTGCATCAAATTTGAATGTCTTTCTGCTCTCTCTGCATGTTTTAGATAAGATTTGGGGTTTCACAGCTAGACTAAACATGGGTGTCATATCAACCGGATAATCATCAGCTCGTTCATATTCTTATTTCCTTGGAGGATCAAAAGTGACAAAAATCAGAGTCTCGCTTCCCCCAACACACACAAACACACACCTTACTAAAAGGGCTGCAAGGTGCAAGTCAGGTTGACTCATGAGGGCTGGATGAGAAGGGAGGTTAAACACAGCTGTTTGTTATTTTAATGTCAGTACACCACAGTCATTTCTAAAAAGGTTAAGCAAAATGTCATTGAAAATGGGCTGAAAAGATGAGTTTTAATAGATAAGCAGGCGTTGGATATGTTTGGTTTTGTTAAAAGAGAAATTGAAAAGATGTCCTGAATGCAGGGACTACACTGACGATTTAATTATCCATTCCAAACACAACATTAGATGTTTTAACAAGGTAAGTGTATTACTGTCTGAATTTGATAAGACCAAAAGTGATGTCTCTTTTAGATTAAATCTGGGTGCATTTGGACACATTTTTTTAATTACATTTAATCATTTGCAGCTTTTGTCAAAATTGACGTACAAATGAGGGCCAATCCAATCCAGAGGAGATCAAAGAGAATGTGCCACAATGCTTAGTTACACGTTCCAGTCAATTGTCAGTCTTTTTCAGCTTAATTACTGCTGATACAACAGATTTAACAAATGATTACAGCTTGTGTGGACACTCACAAAAACGTTTAGATCAATGCTGTCAACCCTAGCCATTGTTCTATTAGACAATTTACTTATCAATTTTATTACTTTGCATTTACTTTTCTTTACAGGAGTGAACCAAATGCCCAGATATAGGCCTACTGTGTATATTTTATAAGATTTCTTACATGCCTTAAAATCAAGAAGGCCACGAACCCCCCCCATGAAGCTTTGGCCACCCGAACAGCACATTTGTTACAGAGGGTAAATATCTTGTTTCAATAACATTAGCCCATGAAGGCAGGCTTAGCAATTGTTTTTATTAACTAAGAAAACCTCTATGAAAACGAATATTCTCCCATCTGATCCATTTTAGATGGCGGCCTGTGTATTTCCCACACAGAAAATGAATCGGGAATCAATAAGATAACTGATGAAAAATCAAACCAATAAGCAGAATTGAGAATAGCATTGGTATTAATAACTTCAATTGTTATCCCTAATTTAAAGTCTGGTACCACAGGCATCAGATGGAGGAACATATTATCCCAAAAAATTTCATTTCTATTTCATTTATTAAATTTCATTTTAATGATCTATATCTATATCTTATCTTTTCTAAACATGTTCTCATAATTGTCCTCATTTAGTTTCTTCAATGATTCAATTTTCATGTCCATGTTATTGTTTGGCCTTCACTGGCCAATATGAGTTTTTGCCACCAGCATTATACTTATACTGCAATTATTCATTTTGTTATTAAATTACCTACCACATTTCCAAACAGTAACATCTCAGGTTTGATGTATAATTTTTAAAGAATCATTTAAAAGCTCCATCTGACGCACAGATTCATGCGGAGGATATTCCTTTACATATTTAGTTTTGCATATCCTGTGTGTATCCTGCGGCTGTAATTTCCCTCTCCCAGTCTAATCCCTTCCACACAGAGAAGCTGCTGCTGCGGCTTTAATCAGCGGTGTGGAGGTAGTGACGACTAAAAGCACAACACAGGAACCCAATGCAAACAGCAGTGTTTCCTTGTTTTCCTTCACATCATTAAAACACACTCCTGACTGGTACTGCATGGCTGCCCTCTGTGTGTGTGTGTGTGTGTGTGTGTCAATAAGATCATACACACTTTCTGCAGCAGTCCTTTGCCTGTGTGTATCAAAGAGAACTCTGTGTGAAAACACTGGGCAGACTTTAGCTCCGAGCCACTTGTCAGCACAAATTAGCTAATTGTTCTCCACTTCAACATGAAATGTGCCATATTTGTTTCAGTGGAGAAGCTGGCAGAGACATTCTTCCAGCCCCTCTTTTAAGTTTTATTTCCTTTTTTGTCATTTTTTTTGTGTTGAAACATCTTCTCTGTATCCAGAGTCGGCGTGACATTTTGGAAAGGTAGCTAATGGAGAAGTTCCTCTAACTTCATTTATCCTGCTTTTGTCCTGTATCAGTGCTGCAGGATGAACATTCAGCATCTCCCAGTGATAAATGGTAGTCTTGAACTTGGTGAGGGATGAAAGCAGGAAAATTAATATTAAAATATTCCGCACCACCCCTTGAATTTGATTCATATAGTCAGTGTGAAATGGTTACCTGTGCAGAGCACTATATACTGAAGATAGATATGGATACTGTGTTCAACTGAAAATGTGAATTTCTTGGCAGTTTTTTACAGCCTGCTTGATATGGAAACCAGACACTGTCAATCACAGGATGTCCGAGGGGTCTAAAAAAGTATAAAATCCAATAATCTGAATTTTAGACCTTAAAATGTCTTATGATTACATGATAATATGATTTTAAAAAGGTCTTAAAAAATGATTGGATTAATAAAGTTACTTGTATAAAGTTGCATTTGTCAGTCGAAACCGAAATGGTACCATTTTTCCTACATATCCTTCGTACTTTTTTTTGCCAGTATGGTCGGAAATAGGTCTTAAATTGCCTTAATGGTCTTATAAAGTCGTAAATTTAAGCTGTTAAAACCTGCAGAACCCCTGCTGTCTGCACACTACAAAATAGAGTCAAAGAGGATTATGGGTTTATGTACTCGTTTCTTTTGATTTTTGCTTTTCCATTCTATTTGATCTGGCAAAAAAGGGAATTCTCTAGACAGTATCACTGAATTAAAAATAATACAGATGATCCCGATCCAGGCATTTTTCTCCCATCTCTATTTCTCTAACTTTATATCGTACAATTAATTTAGTATAATATCATCTCTTGTGAATATTAACCACTGCTGGCTAACAATCTCAAGATTGTCACTAAGCTTGAAAGGGTGTTAAAAAGGTCATATTTCGTGATTTGAATATTGTGATTGATTTTCTATCAGAAGTTAAAATGACATGATTTTGGATTAGTTAATTTAAAAAGAGACCAAAACACTTGGTAAAGCTGCTGATTTGAAGGATAATTCTCTGTGAGTTAACCAGTGACCCCTTTCAGCTTATACACTGTCATTTGATCCATTCATCATAAAATATGGTGCAGCTTTAACAAGATTTTGTCTAAACAATGTTGTTGTCAGCCTTTGAAAAAAGTTCATTCGAGATGCCACGAGATGTGTTGGAAAACAGGGTGACGGAGGATCTAACAGGATGTGTGTCATTTTCTGAAAGGAGAGGGTCAAAGAGCAGGAGGAGGCTGAGCCGACATGTGCCTGGAAGTGCTATCAGTGACAGGTGGGATAAATCACCTTGTCAGGCATGAATGGATAAGGGTTGGAAACGCTGTATAATGGAGCACTCAACCCACCCTCAACACACCCTCCACCTCCTGCCGACTCCTGTCCAACTGGGAGGATAACAGGATCAAACGCTTGGCAGATGTCAGTTTCATTGC